TGCTTTTGATCCAATCTTTGCATCCACATTTATTAACGAGATTGGTCTCCAATTGGACTCCAATTTTGGCATTTTTAAATGGCTGTATCTCAGTCAAAACTAGCCTGATTGACAGTAAACTTAGGGATTTTGTGAATCTTGGTGTGCTCTTTCTGACTATGTGGATCAATAGTTGCTTATCCCATAATTTACAGACTTGTACCTAGCCTTTTTGGCTTGTAATCAGGCAATGCTATTGTACATTTCTGTATGCAGTGAAACCTGTATTAAGTGGACACCCTTGGGACCCTCACTAGTGTCCGCTTAATACAGGGTGTCTGTTCAAAACAGGTTCTAATATGTTGTGCAATAATAATTTATTATTAATCCTTTTGTAACACAGTGTAAAGCAGTGTAAGATCAAAGACTAGCTAAGACTACTCATAGTGCAATGTCCAGTCAGTCAATGCATCAATCTGGATTGATCGCTTAGCTTTAAAATGACATTGTTGAACAATGTTAAAGGAGTCTCAGTTGAGCTTCTAGAAGTAAAAATCCCTTGAAGTGTCCACTTATTGTAGGTTTTGTGCAACAAAATGGCCTAATATTGGTGTCTGCGTCCTCTTAACAGAGGTTTCTGCTGAATGCAGGTGTATTGTACAGTAAATGTGTGAAGAAATGTGGGAAGGGTGTCCGCTTAATATGGGGTCTGCTTAATACAGGTTTCACTGTATCATGAATTCATAAAATGCACTATTGCTATCCAGGGATGTTCCCAAAGCATGCTAAAATATCCTGAGTTGATGTTGAAAATTGGCAGTCTTAAAATGTTTCAGTTAATTTGCAACTCCAGGATTACGTTGAATGTGGATTAATCTCATCGAAGGCCAAGTCTAAAAAAAATTAATCTACTGTTTTTTAATTGCTGTCCAATTTTAGGGATATAATTTTGGGGACACTTTTTGATAAAAAGCAAAATAATACCACACACCAGATGATATCCAAGCCAATGTTTAGAACTGAAAGTCAAACAGAGTGATTTCTCTGAGATTTTCACTCCAGGCAATTAGATTTTATAAGATTCATTTAAGACCAGAGTACCATTTAGTCAAGTCTTGTGGAAATAGTTTGCAGTAACATTTAAAACAGCTTCATTTTTGTTGTATTTTGACACCTTGACACTTCACTCATAATTTTCTTGAAAATGCTCTTATAGATTTCTTTTTAAATTTTGCCATCGTCAAGACAACTATGTCAAGTCCAAGATCCTGATGTCATATTTCCAAAATTATCCATGATGGCAAGTTATTCAGTCTTATTTAAAATGGGATATGGTGTCATGTCTTTGCTATGGTAACTCAGATCCTGATGAAATGTACCCCATTTGAAACTTTGACATCTTTCTCTAGGACACCAGTAACGTTTGATTTTCTCTTGGATTGATAATAGTGGTGCTGTAGTCGCTCAAAGTTGAACGGTATCGTTGCTCAAAAATCTGATCGAGCCACCTTAAAGGGGTTACTTTGTGGGTAGTGGGTTTGGTATGTAGAAATTAAGGTTGCTGACTTGTGCCATCAGTTAGTACTGCAAATCAAGGAAACAAATTTTAGGAACATATTGGATAAGAATGGCAACTGGTACATCCTGTAAAATACTTGTGTGACAAGATACAAGTACTAGGGGTGGTGAATGGCTAAATTATCTAAGACTTTGTGAGAATGGGAGAATAGCATTTTTCTTTACGTACATGGGCTCCAAGACAATGAACAGATCAGAACTCTGAGACCTCTTAGCGTTGCAAAAAAGGTTGAGACTCTGAGACAGTTTTGTGTGAAATATATGAGGTTATGAGACGCACATAGTTGCTACAAATGGCATAGTGATTGTAAAAGGAACAGGGAAGTGAAACGATTGTTTTGAATTTCAAACTGACAATACTATACTTTGAGGTCATAAATTTCTATCAACTAGACAGTATATTTTTGGGTCTGTTAATTATTCCAAGAGAATTTTTGTTCTGTTTTCTATTTTCTATACTTAGAATTCTACTTGTACACTTTTGCATATGCTACAATCTGATTGGTTGAGGTATCATACTATGAGCCATTAGTGTGCAAAGGCTTAAGGCTGTCTACAAATTAACAAAGTCTCCCATGCATGTATTTCTGAAGTTTTGGGACAACACTTCAAAAAAAAAAAAAAAAAAAAGATAATGAAGTCAAAATTCTTGAGAAGGTGAATTTAAAACCTTGAAGTTGTTAAAAAGTTAACAAGTGCTTGAACACATGCAGGTGCCCAGTTGAAAGTACAATGGACCATTTTGATGAAGTCACAACTGAAAGCAAATGCTTGTCCCCTGGTGGACATTTCTTTGAAAAAATTGGCAAGTTGATAAGAAACATCGCATTTTACTAAATTTGGCATGAGTAAGAGTGATTGTTGGTGAGAACCAAAGAAAATTACAAAAATGTGGCCACAAGGACCAAAAAACTGGTGGCGTTTCAAATCTTTTGATAATTTGACTAAAGAGACTTTGGACACAGCTTTCCTGTCTTACAATAATATTTCATTTTTGTGTTATCATCTTGTGAATCTTCATTTATGAATGTTGGAGAAACTTGCCCAAATATAAAGTCAAACCTCTCTAATATGGACACTGAAGGGACAGAGGGAAGTGTCCATATTAGAGAGGTGTCCACTGACAGTTTAGAGTGTTTGCTTTTTTAAATGTAAGTTTTGAAAACTAACATTTTGACATGTTCTGGTATTGGTATCACTGAATGATTAAGTGTCAATGTTTGTAACTGCTGATAGGAAATGGTACATACCACAAATTATTGACACCTGGTCCGCGGAGTGTCCGTAATAAAGAGGTTAAATTTGTATCAATTTGCTCCTTAAGGCTGAGAGTTAATGTCTGTTATCCGTTTTAGAGAGTGTCTGTATTATGGAGTTTTTTTAGAGGAAATTATTGTGCCTATAAGAAACTGTCCATATTAGAGAGGTGTCCTTATGGAGTGGGTTCGACTGTATAACTTCATGATCACCTTTTAATGTACACCACTCTAGCACAGAGATGATATATCAAGGTTTCTTATCTCTAACAAACGCTTTTGAGGCTTCATTATCACACGCTAAAAGTCCGTTTCTTTAATGCAACATGGAATTTACAGCTTCTCTCTCATTTACATTTGTATGTTTATTTATTTGGGTATTAATTGTCTCTTAAAGACCACAGATGTAGTAATAATTTGATGTTAAAAAAAAAATATTATTGAAAGGTTGAGGAGAACCAAAGACAATGTGTGTGATTTCACAGGGAGGTTTTGAATATTTTAATGGAATCATTATGGTCTGATGTTCGTAAGTCAAAGTTTAGACTACAGAAAATGTTGTGAAATTACAGTGAATTTTTGGGAACATTTGGTTTGAAGTCATGGGTGAACAGGAGAGGGATATACTATTTTAACAGTAATTGCTTGACTTCAGATGATAAATAAGATGTACTGTATATAATTTTCTTTTTTTGTCAGGCCACTCGAGGAAGGGCTGGGTTGATGTGGATGAACAAGTCATTAGGAAAAGAAGACAAGGAAAGAAGGAAGGAAGGATGTTTGAGACTGAAAGGGTGAATAGACAGATCTGGACCGAAAAAAGAAAGACATGGGACTGTTGTACATGTATATGGCAACAGTTCCAACTGGAAGAAAGCAAATCAGTCACTTTGCCTGACCAGGTAAATACTATACTGGAAAATGCTAGGAAATTGAATCTGAATTTTCAAGCAGGGGTGGGGGTTACTGAGAGGCTCAGATTCGGCCAATAATAATGGCGGAGCTCTGGCAGCCCAAAAGGGCCGCCAAGTGGCGTCCCATACCCATATAGGGAAGAAAAGGAGACCCATGAAATGTTTTTCTCATGGTTATCATAGCTAGCGATATTACAGGTGGGTGTGTACACACGATGACGGCAATGGAGTTGCGCAAGATGGCAGCCATACTCCAGCTGATAGGTTGACAGAGACATGCACCCTCAGTTTGTGGCATCCCTCTTTGATATTGGACATCCATGTTATGGTCAATGGACACCTGTCAAAACAAGGTATCCACTGACCAGTATCACATGACCACATCGCTGGCTCAAGTTTAAAACCATCGAGGTCACAAGTTTTTTTTGAAGTTGACCACTGACCAAGTGCTTGTTTTTTTTTATTGGATTGTGGGTTCATGTCAGGTTAACTTGTTGCAAACAGGGCTGGGTTTTTTGGAAGCTGGTTAATGCTAACTCAGGATTATAAAAGTTAATTGAAGTATAATTTTTTCTTGTATACAAATGTTTTTTCACTGCTTTTGTTTTGTGTATTTTGAAGACCTTGAGCTTACATGTATTCAGACTCAAAACAGAAGGCCAAACAACATAAATGGAAAACCTCACCGTAAAGTTACCAAACTCAAATCAAAATTCTTGCTTATCTTGGGTTAGCTTAATCAGGCTTTGAAAAATCCAGCCCAGGAGCTCCGCTTTTAGGCTTGACTAAATCTATATATTGTGCTGTTGTAGATGAAAAAAATAACCTCTCTACCACTCCCTGTAAAATCAGTCCTGGATCTAAGGAGGGGTCTCGTAAATGGGCCAGAACAAGAAAGCTCAACACAAAATAGCAAGCTGGGCGTCCATGTTTATGAGATACCTGAAAAATGTTTGGTTTGTGAATCATCATGGAGATGAACATTTTGTTATTGGGAGGGGAGGCATCTTTCTGGGTGAGTGAAAATTACACCAGGCAAGTGCATTTTGAGAGACACTCGTCTGAATGGCAAATGATCAAAGTGTAGTTTCCAACACTGAATAATACTGTCGCTTGCATGTAAGTGTGTACACATGATGCCGAAACATGCTCTAATTGGGTTTCAAATGTGGCATGATAGGTTATCAAACATTTGAAGTTTAACAGACCGTGGTGCGAACTTTTGCCCTAAAATTTCAGCACACAAAATGGCAGAAAGATTGGACATTGAAGACTTCTTCAGAGAAATTGACCCTGACCTGTGTCAATATACATACACCTTTCACAAAAGTGGTTTTACTTCTACAGGGCTTGAAATAATTTTCTGGCTGGTGCCAGTCAAGTTGTCCAGTCAAATCTATTTTTGCTCAGACAAGAAACGATTTTGACCTGAGATATGCATTACATCATAACTCTTAAAAAAGTGTTTCTCCCCCTCAGCATGATGCTTAATATTCAGCACGTACATTTAGGGAGCTTTTATTGGAGGAGTAGCCTCATATTCAATGCAAAAAGTACAGAATACACAGCTTAGAATTTGAGCCCTGACATACGCTTTTTCGGCCATACGAATCTCCTTTTTAACTTCTTGGCAAAATTTGTATCCGTTCCAGTGAAGAGGATCCTTAGTTTTCACAGCAAGTTTGTGCCATTGGTTGTGTTTTCTCATCAGTTGACGGATTTCCGGTGTGATAAAGGGATTGGGTTTGGATCTAATTTTGACCATCTTGACTGGCACGTGGTGATCAAGGACTTCCAGGAACATGTCATTATAAAAATGCATCAACCTGATCGTTAAAATTGTCAAATACACTGATAATGTGGAAAGGTGTAAAGGACAAGTCATGCAGAAAGTTGTCAGCTTTGTAGTTTTTGTAGCACCTGATAGTTACGTAAGAGGGCTTGATTCTTGGCTTTTTAAGCTTCAACGTTGTGTGAACAAGGTCGTGATCATTAATAGCTGATTTTCATTCGTGGTCATTACAACGTCAATTAAAGATTTGTCTCTACTTGATTCAATTTTTATTCAAGCTGAAGTGATTCACACAAATTTATTTGTTATTTTTAATTTCACCTTAACATAAAGGCCTTAAGTTTTAAGATACACGTTTGGTTTGAATTTGTATTAGAGGGTAGCCCGGACCTGTGTACCATACACTTTAAGAGGCTTCCCACATTACATGTAGGTCGCAAGGTTAGTTCGCAGCAAGTTCCATGGGGAGAATAAGGATTAAAGTCGAACCTCCCCACAATGACCACCTTGTGGAGAGAGGAAAGTTGCTGTTGTAGAGAGGTGGCTGTTATTGGGAGGTTTAAGGGGTGTAATATGACACCTTTTTTGGGGTGGGGGGAAATTTTTTATCTTTAAAAATGCTTGTTTTAGCTTGTAAATACTTAACACTATCAAAATATATCTATAAAACAGAAACCAAACAGAAACAGAGACTAAAGATGTTCTAAAAAATTAGGTTTTGTATACACGGCTTGTCGGTCGTTGATTAACATTACTGGCCATTGACGAAAATTTATTTTGGAAGTTGGGACGCACTTTAATGACTGTTGCTGTTAGGTAGAGGTGGTTGTTGTAGAGAGGGTAAATTAAGAGTGAATGTATGGACTATCCACCGGGATAACAGCGTTGTAGTGGCCTTTGTAGAGAGGTAGCTGTTAGTGGAAATTGGACTGTATTAGCATACACACTGATTAGCATATACACACTGATAGACACACTACGCTGGAAGACCTGCTAATTTGCAGTTATGACTAATGGATGACAAAGTAGGCTGTCTGGTTATATTTTTTGTTTGCTTTCTGTTTTTCTTCTTTCACAAATGTGAATAATGCACAACTTAATTTAGAACTAGCTCTGAATCAAATTTTCCTTTGAATTGTAAACAACCAGACAAAATGTACGGTCACTCCAATGATTTGACTGGACAAAATCAATTTTAAACTGGACATTGTCTGTTGACCAGCCATTATTTCAAGCCCTTCTGTAATAACCATGAAATTTTGGCAAGAGCAAGACTCTCAGAGTCTTTTAGTATATATTCCTCAAAGACATCAATGAGAAAGTTTGTGTTACAGTCTGTTAAACATGAAATGTTTGTTGACCAATCATGCCACATTTGACACCCAGTTAGAGCATGTTTTGGCATCACATGTTCAAGCTTAGATGCAAGAGACGGTATTACAGTGTAAAAGGTTGAGGAAACCTACAGACAAACTGGGTGGTTTCACAGCAAAGTTTTGGATATTTTACAAACTCATTATGTTCAGACTATTGTTTTTAAGAGTGTAGACTACAGAAAATGTGGTGAATTTAGTAGTGAATTAGAGGAACATTTGGTGTGAAGTCATGGGTGAACAGGAGAGGGAAGTACTATTTTTTAAAGTAGTTGCTTGACTTCAGATGCTAAATGAATATACATCCACAATTTTATTCTTTATCTTTTTGTCAGGCCACTCAAGAAAGAGCTGGATTGATAAGGATTAATATGTTATTAGGAAAAAAAAAAGGAAAGAAGGTAGACAGGAACTGGATGCTAAAGACTAAAATGGTGGAGAGACAGACCAAAAAAAAACAGGGGACTGATACAAGTACCGGTACGTGGCAACAGTTGTACCTGGAAGAAACTAAATCTGTCACCTTGGCTACACCAGGTAAATACTATTAATACTGGAAAATGCTAGGAATTTGATTATCTCATCTGAAGCCAGATCTTTAAAACACTGGGTCTTGGGTTCAGCTTTTCAGTGAAAGGATATTGAGGTATTGGAGGTGGAAGTAGGGGAGAGATGTTTTGCAGGTATAAACAGGGAAGAGGTTACAGGAAAGGGTTAGGGAAGGTAAAAATGGTGAGGAACAGTGGGTAGGAATGTCTGCTGTAAGAACTAGGCTCTTCACCTAATACCTACCATATTCCATAATTTGATTTTATAGATTGTCAATGACTGTCAATACTACATACGTTCTCCAATTAGAAAAACTGGCAATGCAAATTCCTGTAAGAAAGCCTAAATTTGCTTATGCTGGCAAGATTTAATCTCTCAAAGCACTTGTTAATATGTCTTTGTTTTCAGCCGTGATGGTTATTTTTTGATGAGATAATATGGAACTAACAATTAGCACTACTCAATTAAAACTACTCTGAAGCCAGATCTTTAAACCACTGGGTCTTGAATTCAGAAAAAAAAACTACTCAGTCAGCCTATTAGAATTTTGTGCCTACCAGCAGTGGCAATTAAAACTACCCTGAAGTCAGATCTTCAAAGCACTGGATCTTGGGTTTAGGAAAAAAAATAGTCAGTGTGAATCAGCCTATCGGAATTTTGTGCCTGCCAACAGTGGCAGAAGTGTCAGAAAAAAGGGGGTTCTTATATCAGGCATTCCTCCTCTCTCCCTCTCCCCCAGTCCTCTCCCTCCTTGTCTACCCCATTTTATACTTCCTGCTATGAAGGCTATGAGATGTGCGGCAAGTCAAACTTCTCTGTGTAGAGAAACAAACTGGCGAAGGTAACAAAAAATTAGAATGTGGAGATTGCATTCAAAGTTGGGATGATCATTCAGGCTAAAAAGTAGTTTGTAACGTCAGCTGCTGATTGTTGAAAAGCTAATTATGGAGTTCTTCAGGTTCACCTTTGGGAAAGTTCCTTGTTCTCAAATTCTGTTAGTTGTATATATACTCAGAACTTTACTGTACTACATGCCTTACCATTGCCACCTAGGAAATTTAGTTTTTGACATCTGTTTGACAACTTCTGATGGCTTCCATTTCAAATGGCCAATTAAACTGGGACTACTTGCTGCTGGTTTCAGATGTTTGCAGCTTGAGACTTTTGAAATTCCCACGAGAGTGAATGGTTAATTTGACAATTTGACATTTCCGCCCTCAACAGCTCCCGTGTTTTGATTGGCTGGTTAAAAGTACAGCAATTAAATGTTATGAAAAAGTTGTCACAAAGATGTTAAAATCAAGTAATCAAAAAAATTCACTGTGCAAAGTCATAATCAAGAATCTTTTCTGAATGTGTCATTTCATATTCAACAGTGGATAGACAGTAGACATATCTGGAAACACAGTGGACATACCTGGATGGACAGTGGGCAAACCCAAAACATTCAAACTTTGACCAACCAGGTAAATATGTGTAAATGTACACAGTTACTGTGGATCATGTGTCAAGTCATAATCAAGAATCTTTTCTGAATGTGTCATTTCATAGTTAATAATGGATGGACAGTAGACATATCTGGAAAGACAGTGGACAAACCTGGATGGACAGTGGGCAGACCTGAAACATTCAAACCTTGACCAATCAGGTAAATAGATGTAAATGTACAGTTGTTATGTTTTCGAATGAGAAATGCAACGACCACAACACACAAGATGGCGGAACTCAAACTGTATTCTCACGTGTACAAGACT